TCAGACACCTGCAGTACGAAGATCAAAACTTGATGCAGAAATTATTGTATATACCAGAAGTAGAACATCTTGTCTTCCTCCTTCCTGCCGAAGGCCACCAGATTTAAGGTATTTAATTCATAGGTTGGTTATTATCAAAACGTACATCTTAGAAAAATTAGACACTGCGCATGTCAACAGGCCACAAATAAAACGAGTATCTGATTGTGTCTATCAGAAGAGAATAGCATGTTTGCACTTTTCTTGAAAAATAGAGCACTGAATTTGTTAGATTCATACCACAAGTCAATTCAGAGCAAAATAGAGTATTGTGCAAGTAATGTCTCAGGGAAAGAATGCATTGTAAATGCTTTTTTTTTTTTTTTTTAATTGGGGTAAAGATTGTAGACACTACACTTAATAGTCCCTGAGCAAAGTGGCAGTTTTCAATTTCAAATTCTGGTCATGCAACGCATCTTTTGATATCAGAAAATAAAGTAAGAAATGAATAGACATATGACCCTTTTGGCCTAAAAAGAAAAAGAAAAAGAAAAATAGACACAGCATTTCTTTCTCCCCCAATGAGTCCTGCTGTGAACATAACCATCCAAGCACTTATCTTACTGGAAAATTAATAAGAGTCCCTGGACCCCAATATTTTAGAGCAGCAAGGTCATAAGCTCTAGCCGCAGCCTCTTCATCATCATACGCGCCTGCATAAACGCCATCAAGGGCAATTATCATAATGAATGGTGCAGCAACTTCAAGAAGGAATAAGAGGACGAAGCCAACATACCCAAGTAAACTGGCATCACCAATGAATTATTGTCCAACATATCCATGCCCAGTGCACAGCAAAATAACGAGATTATGTAAGTGACTATAGGATTTTGACCCAAAAAAATGTAAGTGACTATAGGATCATAAGAGCGTGATATTCAAGTGTGTTTACCAATAACTTCGTACGTGTGCAAGTAATTAGAAAGAGACGGAAAAAGGAAGGCAGAAGGGGGGGGGGGGAGACCTTGCTTTCCTTTCTTGTTCTGATTTTGGTTCCACGTGCTCTTATCCCAAAGATGTGCTTCATAACGACCTGTCCATCTATGCCTGATAATTCACGACACAAGAACAGTCAGTCCATATTTCAGAAAAGCTTCCACATCTCAAAAGCAGAGCCGATACAAGAGATTCAAAATCGTTAGAAACCAGAGAAACTCAGTCCCATCTGATGACACAGAACAGACACCAAAACCGGATATAGCAGATGAATGACAGCATACGATGAAAAGAAATTTTGACGTATAACCTTAAGCTTTGTGACGTGGCACACATGACAGTATTTGTCAGTTACCGTTCTGTTTTATGCTCACTTTCCCATTTAATGAAAGAAAATGAAAAGGGAAGTAATCTCTGAAGAATTAGACATGATTACAAATCAAGAAAACGTTACGCGATTAAGCAAGAAAGGTGAAAGGGTAGGACCAGTTTGGCAGCCTATGAGTGAGAGAAAGCAAAGGATAAACGGACCTGGTTACACCACGATATATGGAGCTGCGTTTGCCGGCAGTACAAGGGGGCATTTTGCTGATCTCTCTTTGGCCGTACATCCTCTCTCTTTCTTCGGCTTCTTGAAATCCCTGTATGAAAACACCTGATCGTTGTTGATGGCTGCTTCCGAAGTCTCTGGCATGGCACAGCCAAGCTCGGGCTTGGCAGGAGGATCAGAGGAAGAAGAAGCCATGGATAGAATTCAAGCTCAGTCCAAGAAGGGAGTGAGGATTTGGGTTAGATGTTATGGGGGGAGTCACAGTGGAATAGATAACTCCAACGACAGGGTTCAGTCAAGAGACAGGAGAGAGGAAGGAAGGAAGCTAATTACGGATGTGGCCTTTTGTGGCGTTTCATGTGGCATTCGGGAAGATATGATGTAACGGCTAGGACGTGGAGGGGCAGTAATGTCATTTCGGTGGGGATTTGGAAAGCAGTCAAAGTGGCATAAATATGAGGAAGGGGCATGTTGGGTGCCACATGTCTTGGGGGCGTGAAGCCAAGGTGCTGCTAGCCACCTGCTCACTTTCATGACTGCATCTAATCTAAAAGGCATCCTAGAATAGTGTAGAGAATTTTTGTCACATTAATTTAAATATATTCTTCTTTGATTCTATTTATAAAAGACTTCTAGTATGTTTTTATAGAATAAAAAAAATCTTTTTTTTGTTAGCAGATTAAAAAAATCTTAAATTTATTAATTTTATTTAATAATTTAATAATTTTTAATTTTATCCCTATTTAATATGCATTATATCTCATATAAACAAAGTCAACACAATAATAAATGAGAGGTAAAATTATACATCCATACGAGAAATTTCTCTCAGTATCCTATAAATAGGATAAAAAATATATATTCTTTTTTGTTCTATAAATAAAACCAAAAGAATATATATTTGTTTGATTTTACGTGGAGTGATTGTTATGATGGAGTTTTACTATTGATAAGATATGGTAATAAGTAAAGGTCGGGACGGCGGTGGGAAAGCAGGAAGTGGTAAAAACAAAAAACAAAAGGGATGAGCATGATTGAGATTGTAATGGGAAAAAAAGGGTAATTTTGAACAAGCCAAGCTACGGATTGGTCGCACCACTCACACAACATTCAAACTCTGTAAATGTATTCCCTCTCGTGCTTCCAAATTCCAAACTCCAACCTCTCTCTCCTCCCAACATGCCCTCAAATTTAATGCCCTCGGGAGGATGCCCTACCCGTCGAGACCGACGTTCTCTATCCGCGATATCTGTGACTATGGATAGGGACTACAATATTTGGGTTAAATTATATATATTATTTCACTAATACCCGTGTGTTATTATTTTTATACTTTTTGTTTTAATCATTTGCATTGAAAATTATTTTATTGATAAAATTCTTATTTAATATGTGTAATTATTAGAAATAATATATAAAAATTATAATTTTAAGAGAGAAAGTTAATTAACATCTTGCATCTAAATCCAGAACAACCCTATCAGTTGTCTAACTTCATACATTCAGTATTGAAAGGAGTAATATACTTTTTCATGTCCTTAATATAAATAACTTCTTTTTAATTTTACACCTACCGGTTAAAATATTAAAGTTCTCATAAAAATCAATTAGTTTTTAATACTATGCTTGTGATTGTGCTAAACCCAACTATTTAAAAGTCATATTAATTTATATCTCTTCTTGCTATATCCCTATAAATTAAGGAATATATGCAAGGTAAAAATGTGTTAAATGGACAAAATGGACAAAAATATCAGGCTTAATTTGAGGCTTACGTGTGGGCCTATTCACAAGGCCCATGAGGCAACGGCCCACATTCTGACCCGCAATAAACCAACCAATCGCCGTTTGGATTCCATGACGCGCTAAGAATGAGGCGTGGGGGAAGATGGGCGATCACATGGGAGGTGATTGTATTTCTAAGAGCCCAAACCGGGTCTCCATTATGCTCTTGCACATTACTTTTCTCATAACTAGCACTATGTTATTTAATTTTACCTTTCATTTATCAGCAGAGATTTACCCACAAATTATGCTTTGATCCAACTCAAATGAAAAGGGAAAAAATACTTGGTCCTTAGGTCGGTAGGCCCTGACTAGCATTGTGTTATTCTGGGACATTTTAAGAGACAAAACCCACATTAAAGCAAGGGCATTCCTGTCTCTTTGCAGTAGGACTCCATCTGCATGGCGTGGTTATTGTCACCGCTCATATTACTCTAAATTATGAGAATACCGTATTTTGTCTTTGGATGCGCCAATGAAAAAAATTAATCAAACTATATGAAGTTCTTTAAAAAGAAGTAGACGAAGGTTAAAGAGAATACTTAATAAAGTTATCAAACTTAATCTTTCAATTAATAATATATTTGAAGATTTGACTTTAGATGGAGCTCAATGATGTCGTGTGATTTATGTAGCCAACTCCACCTAATGCGGCATCATATGAGAATACCATATTTTGAATGTATCACTTCGCCGACATGCTTCATAAAACAATTCCGAAATTGTTAGAACCGAAGCTTGTTTGGCACCGTTTTGATGCCGCGGAATCTTGTAAGTAAGGAGGTAGGAAGTTTCTGCGCCCAACAGTACAAACACAAGACGCAGACATGAAATAAAGTGGAGCGAGGCAATGATGAGTTGTAACACCCCCTTTTCTGTCTAGTGGAAGCTTCCGCTGTTTGAAAATGCACAATTCATTATAAATGCTTCTAATCAACACTCATATCTTAATGCGTTACTATATTCATAACAATGAGGTATATATTTATGTGATATGCATATTTTGACATGCACGTATGTGAAATCTAAAATCAGTTGTACTGTTTATGATTTGAATTAGTGTAACTCGGTGCAAGTTTATATTGATATATGATCAGTGATTAATTAATACAACCCAGGTATTTGTGAGACGCTAGAGGAATTCATTAAATTATGAAAAATAAAAAATGTGCTTTTGGGGCATTTTATATTTTAGAATATTGATGAATGGTTATCACATTGACAATCAATATACTCTACAAATTGCCATACTCTGTATGTGTGTGTGTGTGTTTTTTTTTTAATAATTTACTCTCACTCCCCTGTCATGTCTGTTATTGCTTCGTTGGAAACGTAAGAGTATGGGGAATGCATGGCCTGCATCAAATGAAATCTGCTTCCCCAATATTCTATTTTCAGAATTGGATCTCAACGCTCTCTTGCCCTGCTCCTGGCTGCTCTCCAATTTCCACCGGTTCCTTCCTATTTTTGTCGGTTCCCTTCCATTGACCCTTCCCCTTCCAATTCCTCTTCTCTAATTTCACCCTCCCCTTTTTTAATTCCTTCTCAATCTGGAACTAACGCCTTTCATTTCTTATACTGTTTTTATTGTCCACTTCCCGCGACGTTGCTTTGGGTCCTGCAACGTGCTGTAATAAGACCTGCTCCTCCTCCATTTACAGTAGTCTTTTTAAAATGATGGAAAAGGTGGAGGAGGTCAAATGAGCCACTAGAAAAAGCGTCATGAATCATTCCTTCTCCGAGCATGAATACGAGACACAGGATACACATATCTTAACAGAATCGTCGCCTGCCACACAACCAAAGAGAGATTCGGGGTTCTGGGCAAACGCTAAGGCTAAGGGCATGGGTCTCCTCTTGGTATTCTTCCCTGAAGAAAGCCCCCCAGTTGCCGACAAAACTAAGTTATTTTCCTCACCTTCTTCTTCGCCTCCTCCTGCTTCTTCTTCTGTCAAGAGACCCAATTCCATTCGCATTTTTTCCACTGCTCAATGCATCATTTCCATCTGCGCTCTTCTCCTCTTCACCACTCTTGTTTTCTTCACTCTATCTACCATCGAACCTACGGCCCATCGTCGATTCTTGTCGGAGAAATCTCCCATTATTCACAATCCCACTGCAGAGCCCAAAGCCAGCGGTTGGTTCCCCAAATTGGGAAAATGTGCCTCCAACAGCGAGCATCTTCCTTCGCCCGCTCTGCAACGGATGGGTACTCTGTACAGGAGAGGAACCAGAGCCATGAAAGATCTCGTTGTGGGTCACGTGGCTGCCGACACCACCGACGAGGAGTTTCGCTTGTTTCTCAGAGTTTTGCATAGGTCAGGCCTCACTGCCAGCGCCGACGTCGTTTTCATGTTCGATTCTGCTTCCTTGTCATCGAGATTCACCCCTATTATTCAGGAGGAGAACGACTCGTTCTTGTCACTCATTCAACACTACACTCAAATGAATGTGACCCATCCTCACAAGAACCGGAAATCTCCCAATTTCGATGCTACCAGGTTTCTCAAGATGGTCAAGAAGGGGACGGAAATCGCGGAGCCATTGTGGGGTGCGAGAACTAGAAGTAATCTCACGAACCCGGAAACAGGGAATGGCGGATCAGAAGAGATCGTCCCTCTGTTGAGTTACGGGTCGGTTCTCAGATTTGACCCGGAGGAGCTCGATCCGGAGAACTCGCTGGCCGGGTTCCTAAACGACGTCCCCCTGAGTTTGAGAAGATGGGCGTGCTACCCGATGTTGCTCGGTCGGGTCAAGCGGAGTTTCAAGCATGTAATGCTCGTAGACGTGAAGAATATGGTAGTGGTGAAAGACCCGCTGGGAAGAGTCAGGAACCGGAGCCCCGAGACCATTTTGTTACATAGACATCCAGAGAGTAGTAGCTTTAGCATGACGCAGAGTAGGAACAACTCGGAGAAAACTCAGGGAGGCGGACGAGTCAACCCGGCGATCATAATGGGCGGAGGGAAAGGCATCCGGCGATTATCGAACGCGATGCTCACGCAAATTGTTCGGTGGGCGATGAAAAAACGCGCGAATAACTCGGTGTCGGAGGCGGCGGTACTGAGTCATCTGGTGGGGAACCGGTTCACGTTGAAGAACGTGAATTTGATAACGGCAAACGAGTCAATATCGGACACGAGATCAGTGGCTGACCCTAACTCAGCTTCTTCCACGTCATTGTGGGATTACGTAATAATTCAACGCGGCCCACATGATCAGAGTCTTAATTCTTTTATTAAGAAGCACATATGCTCGTCTGAAGTAGATTCTTCCCTATATAGAGATTGTTAGCCCTCGACACGTAGAAACAAAATATAACGATTCTTTTTAAGATACTCTTATAATATAAGTTGAGATTTGTATTATGTGATGTAGATCTGGTTCACAGGCGTTGGGCTTGTGTCTTTGTGATGTTACAGCCGCCGAAAAACTTGTGACAAAATTCAGACAACTTATTTATTTATTTTTTTATCTGCTAGAGACAAATACTCATTTTTTAATACTAATTTTTTGTAGGTGTATGTTTTATATAATTTAAATTCTTAGTTCAGCCACTCCGTGATTCAATGGTCACGCCAGGACACTTGTCAAGAGCTGATTCTAAAAAAATTCACGTATTGTGAATTGTGAAGTTGTGATGAGATCATCAAGAATGGGGGGCATTAATAACGACAGGGGGATAGTTGAAATGCAATTTATTAAATTAAAGACAAGGATTGGCGCGACGTGATCCTGTACAATTGGACTTTGCGATGCTCACCACGTAATAACTCAATTAATTGCACACGGGAAATATGCCAGGTCAAAAAAAAAAAAATCAATGTGCTAATTTAACTGCTTACAAATACACTTTACATAAATTGAGATAATTTTTTTATATACTTATCTTGTACTCCCTCAATTCCTTGTTATAAAATTTATTTAACTATATTACATAGTTTAAGAAAACTACTAAAATTAGTTAAAAGTAATAAATATATTAAAAATATATTTTTTTAAAAAAATATGCCCTTATTTATAAGTAGGTGTGTGTGAGTGAAAAAAATATATGGAAAAAAGATAATATGAGAAAGTATATTAATTAAGCATAAAATAGATAAAAATGCATTTATTGTTTAGATAAATTCAAAAGGAATCTTATAAATAGAGACAAATCAATTCAAAAAAATTAAATCTTATAATAAGAGATGGAAGAGTATGTCCTAAATCAACATTGCTTATAAACCATTTCATTGAAAATTAAAAAAGGATGAATTAAACTTATTTTTCTTCACTAACATAAAAAAAGGCAAAAGCTTTATAACTTTTATATAAAGTGATTTTGAACCCTCGAGTTTTGATATTAACATTGAAAATAATGCAAGCATATATATACCAATAGATTTTTAGAAGTAGTATTTTTCACCAGCTAGACACGAAACTATGACTTATTTTTAAAATTTTATGCAATAAACATATTCATGAAAAGTTAATTCTTTAAAAAAAATTAAAAAATTCCATTGTCAATATATTAAACTTAATTATAATGAGACAAACTTTTTGGCTTACAGAAAAGACATATTCCTTCGATTTTAAATATAAGACCTTTACTTTTCCGGTCCTAAATATAAAATCTTTATCTAAACCCTTATATAAAAATCTTATATTTAGGACTGGAAGAATATGTCTTTTAAAAGATTATCGCGCAATTTCAGGGCAAGAAAGTTGCATAATTAACGCATAACTCACGAAATTTCGGGCTTGGGAGTTACAAAGTACAACGCTTCGAACTGTTCTTTTCACCTTGTGAACTCTAATATACTTTCTAGACGCCGGCATCGTCAAATCGGTTATTGGGTCAATTAAGCATTTAATGAATTAATGCTTTAAAATTTAAATGCATTTTCTCATGAGCAACGAGAGCCAGCCCATAAACGGAGGGAGGATAGCCAGAGAACAAGAAATATACAATTCATGGGGATGAAAATGAATAAAGAATTCAAAATCACAACTAACAACCCAGCAAAGTTTCATTCTTTATAGTTTATATGAAAAAGCAGTACATATACACCCGCCCCCCGGACCAATAACAACATGAATAAATCCATGTATTAAAATTACAAACCTGATCAAATGAAAGAATGGAGCTGTCCACCGTCTTCATAGCTACAATATGTGAACATCATTACGCGAGGCAAAACCAATTTCAAAGGAGAAACTAAAACTCACTCTCCAGGCAGTATCACAATCAATTCCGATACTAACCACAGGTTTACATCCATCAAAGGCCAAACAGCAAATTGTTACGCACCGGAATCCAACTTGGAGTTTCAATAATACCACAACCATCCCACAGATAAAAAGTGGATTCCAACAAAAGTATGTTAGGATGCAAAAACAGCAGATATGTATGTCACTCATTGTAATATTCAACTCTAGAACAAATCTGCTTTCCTTTTCTGCATGTCTTGCTTCCATTTTGGCAATTTATAGAATGCTTCTTTTGTCATTCCAAATACTGTGTTGAAGTCTTCATCCGATAGATAGGCCTGAGATACACCAATTCGAGAGAAAAGACTATATATTGACATCACTCCCAACGGAATAAATTAAATCAGCAACGGCAAATCAAGACTAACCTCTCTTCGTTTGAAATCTATTCCAGACACAGGATTAGTAGATTTGGTCTTCAGTTGATCATAACTGAATGTGCTCTGACTACTTTGATTATCATTCCCATCCTCAACATTTTCCTGTTTTGGTTCTGAATCACCATTGCTACCAGTTTCGGTTGCAAGTTCTTCAGTCTCCTTGGCATCTGCAGCTTCCTCAGGACCTTCGGTTTCGGACTGGCCACTTTCACTCTTAGCTTCTGCTACAAGAAATCACACTAGTCAGATATTCCAGAGCACCCGGAATTGGTTGCACAAACAAGAGAAATATTAGTTGCAGCAAAGGGCAGGGAATATTCTGATTTTTTTTTTTTTGGCATCAGCGACACAAGCATGTGATTTCAGAGCCTCCCATTGAAAGGAAAAGGTTGCACGAGTTTTATTTTAGGTAAATGCAGGTTTTGTCATGCAACGAAGAAAACCAGATTTCATATTTTTCCAAATATATGTAAAACGACAATTGCACAAAATTTGCATGTCAATTTGGAAAAAAAAGAAAAGAAAGGATGGGCTCTGCCAAATACTGAAAGAAGCAACCAGTTGTAGCATCACTGAAAATGAGAGGTTCCTTTTGTGTGTGTGTGTGTTGGAGGGGGGGGGGGGGTTGACCAGGATATTTGCGTATAAAGCAACGTCTTGCATGGATAAGAGCCTTATCTTATCTTACCAGAAGCACTACTTTCTGCAACAGGACTGCTGATTGGCCCAACAGGAGAGGAATCAGGTGAGTGCTTCTTCTTCTCAGCAGTGAGAACGTTTGAAAGAGCAGCTACCGCTGCTGCTCTTTGTGATCCTTGACTTGTTCCAGCAGACCTGGGAGCAACAATTCTACCGGCGGATGATGAATTAAATGCAGAGTTCAAGGCAGCTAGAGCTTCAGCTCTTTGTCTTGGACCTCCTTGATTTACTCCGTTCAGTCTATCTCTATCCTGCGCCAGTGAAACTAAAAACAGTTAGAAGAAGGCAAGAAGCACCAATTTTCTTACTATTGTCTTTTCTCCATCTTTTGGAGCTCCACTGGGAATAAATCTATGTTATCTACCCAAGTTCCCCTCGCCCGATCCAAACACCTGAGTAAACCTTGGCAGCAGTAGAAGCACTAATATAATAGGAGACATGATATATTAACAATATTATTCTGTGTCACATTTTTTAGCACCCCAATTCAAGAAGTAAAGGACTGCAATCCCCTGCAGTAATATGTCGCGCATTTAGAAGGGTGGAAGTGCAACAAAGGCCTTCTTTCATCCACCTCTAATTTTCTCTCTTTCTATATCTCTCTTTTTAATGTTACGTTGTGCATTTATTTTCTAAATGCATAGTATCCTAAGCCATAACTAAAACAAAAATGCCAATTCCATATGCTATGCTTGGTGAATGCTCTGTGAAATTGTGATAACACAGCAACTGCTTCATAGGAGTATCTTCTGCTTGTTTGACGATCATCGATTTATAATCAATAATACCGAGAACGAAAATGCTAATAACTCATCTATATGCAAGTTAACATACCGTGCTGGATGTTCTGTCAGAAGGTGAATTAAATGCAGAAGATAAGGCAGCTAAAGCTTCTGCTCTTTGTCTAGGTCCTCCCCCTTGACTGGATCCATTGGACTTATCCTGTCACCAAATCCAACAAAGCATTCTCAAACAAATACAAGACGAAACTGTTGAAATAATGAAGCCATCAACAATAAATTCACATATGATTTCTAACGCACAGCGTTTTGTGTTTGCAGGGATTGGTGTATCCTAAAGGGGAGAAATGAAATTAGGTCAGTCAAAGGTTATGCACAGAATTACATGTCCTGGAGAAAAATTTTAAGCATTAACACTAAGCAGACAAACTGGCATTTCTTTAAGTAATTAAATAATACGATTTCTTCTTTAAAATCTTCCGCATAGACTTGTCCATTTTACTTCTTATATGAGAACCAGAAATGTTATCCGATACTGACGCCAAACATGAATAAAAGTATCTATTGAACCTCTAAGTAAAACATTTTTCATAAAATGACGGGGCTAGAGAAGCCAAACATGAATAAAAGTATCTATTGAACCTCTTGCACATGAATGAAGTGCTCTGACAATTTCAATTTCTACATCAAGGTATGAACAATAACAAACATACATTCAGTAAGCTGAATAGCATTTATAGTTAATAATACACTCTTCTATTAAATTAGATCAATGCTTTTACCTCTACAGCATGGCCAATGCCGAAAAGTAATGACACCTTTTTCTGGAACGAGTTTCCTTGAGCCTGCAATTCAACAGGAAAATAATGCATAGGTAAAACCTACGTGCTTTGGCCTTTTAACTTAGCTTGTTTAAATGCTTTCTTAAAACTTCATGATCACATCAATCAATCACAAATAGCATGCTAATCCAATAAACTTGAACAATGACCAAGTAAAGCTGTTTCAGACGACAAGCAACTGCTTCTTCTTTTTTTTATTTTGGGGGGGGGGGGGTGTGGGGGGGGTGTTGGGGGGGGTGGTGGTGTTGAAGACAGCAACTAAGGACCATAGCCTTTGCTCTAAAACTCAACCTTTGATTTTAATGTAGGTAGACAGTGTTATATGAGCTTAATATTTTGATTTACGTATCTCATAGAATGAGAGAGATATACATTGATAAAAGAACATTGCGAACCCTATGTTTCATGGAGACTGAGGCAGTTTTGGTTCCTTGATACTTCCACTAGTAGTTCTCCCTTCTAAAATAACTATTTGGTAATATATTGTCAATCCTATGGTCCCGTTTAATACGAAGCATTAAAAATGAAAGGGAAGGATTAGGATTGGGATTAAAAAAATATGTTAAAAAAATATTTAATACGGGTGATTGCTTGTTACTTGGGGTTGGACAAATCTGTCTACATGGATTTGGGAAATACCACCCCTTAATCTGAAAAGACTGCTTATCACTCTATATTATTTTCCATGCTTCACACCAAACAGGACCTATGTTTCATGAAAAGACTATATTATTTTTTCGGGCATATATTGCTAGCAAGCATGTCCTTTACCCTACCAACTTGGACATGCCAAAAATTGCGATGAGTGATAATGATGACTAAAAAATATCTCAGACAAATGATAAAAGGGGAATCCCGACGTTTGAAAACATACAGTAGCTTTTGCATTATCCCATGAAAAGTATGTTGTGAAAAAGCAAGGTTCGTTGCCCTCTGTAACTTTATAGAGCGGTACGTAAGGGGAGAGTCCCTCTAGAGCTGCAGCCCTATCTATATATTTCTGTAGAAAAAAGAGAAAAATCCATAATCAATCATCTGCATCATGCAACATAAGTATGAGAAATAGAAATCTAAAACTCTTTAAAATTTTTACCTGGCCAAATTCGAAAGCATTTTGTTTTTCTTTTGAATCCACAGATTGACCAACCCAAACAAACACTTCAGCATGTGTGTCAAGTATGAGGATATCCTCTGTCAACAGATCATCTTGGGAAAAGTTGTAAACCTCTTCTGCCTGCAGAGCAAATAATAAAATTGAATTTGAAAACATAAAGAACGAAAGTTACAGTTATCAAGTTTCCTAACTCAGAGGTGAAAATTGACATAACGAGGTCTCAGCAACGAACTCACCTGAAACTTTCCTGGTGAATCCACATGGCCAAAGAAGAAAACAAACTAACATTGGTTAGAACATTCAAACTGTCCCAACCATAACTCTAATAAAACATATATCAGTATATAAACTAGCTATTACATAACAACATTATGTTGGGAAAGCACCAGTAGAATGTACCCAAAAACAATACCTTTGCTTAATGAAAACGTGAACAAATGTGGATCTCTAACGGTTTCATTAGTGGCTTTTTTGCTGGTGAAGCTCTGTTTTCCTCCAAGTGCAAACCAAAAGGCTGAACTTTCTGTCCCTTCCTTGGCATGTTTTATTGCAGCTCCTGGCTGAGCAATGACAAGTAGCACATTGCTCACAAAGTTAGCAACCTTTTGAATCCACTAGAGGAATAATGCAGTTCATAGATGTGTAATGCAGTTAGGGAATAACCAGAAGTGCTGTAGTCAGAGTCACTGTGAAATGTGATTGACCATTCATCGCAAAATAAAAAGTGTAGTAGTGTACAGTAGAGATATGAAAAACATTTTCAAAAGCACATATTCTAATGGTTAATACATAACACAGTCCTTTATTCAGGGTCCATATTTATTATTCACTACATATATGAACTCCCAAGAGTTTGAGATAATTGGGTTATGCTCTAATTATGCTCTAACTTCCGGTATTACCTGAGCCATTTAGTCTAAATCCCAAAAATTCGAGCCAAACAATGTACCTTCAAAAACTCAGCAATTTTAGCTGCCAGCTGCTGCTGTTCAAAAGAACATTGACTTCCATGCCAAGTGAAAACTGATGAGCCAGATTGCAGCAGGAAACACTCAGTAGAATTCAATGATGTTCCCACCTGAAAAAGAATACCACAGATGATATAATGCAGCAAAAAAAGACTAGCATGAACGGAGAAGCTCGTAGAACTTTCAATACGATGTGATAAAATGAAGAATTCAACGGGGACATACTGCATCAACTTGCACTGCTTTATTATTATGTATTGAAGTTCCAGAAATTCGAATAAGTGCAATACTTTCTGCCGTGTAAGTCTCATCTTGCAAACCTTTCTCTGCTATTAATTTTTTGTAACCAGAACTCAAGCCTCCCTAAAATGGATAGAGGTCAATCAAAATCATTAGAGTCACAAGTTTTAGACTACATACGTTACAAAGAACACAATATACTATTGCACTAAGAAACGTAATACCTTAAGGACCACCATAGGCTGAAAGAGTGCAACAAATTGTGGTGGCTCTTTACCTTCAAATATGCGACCCTGCAAGAAAGTATTTCAATTAAAAAAATTTCCAATGTATTATCCAATTTTACATTAAGATTACAAACCTGAACAGGTCTACCCTTTAGTGAGTTGGACATGGTATTGGCCAATCGAGCAGCCATCCTTTGGTCTTCCTGTATCAGGAATAAAGCCAAGTCAACTTCTAGATAGGCATAAATTCTCAAATCTCTGGCAACCAAATAAGAATAACATAAATTAATAAAATTCAAGGACAGTCCATAGCAACCTTAGATAACTTCTTGTCTCATTACGACTGTGGATAATCGCTCTACAGTGGTAATTATTGCAAATATTTCTAATTATGTTCTTCGTTGTAGAGTTGGTAACTAAGCTAGTTTTCTTCTTTTGGTTACAAAATTAATATGAAGACTTGTGAGGATTCTGCTATGAAACATTACAAAAGAGATCAAACACAATAGCCATTGCATGTTATATGCAGTGATACAGAAAGTAATCCGAATAACTCTATTGCAGATATGCTGCCTCCCATTAAAGATGGGGGAAAGGCACTTTATGGATTTTTCTGATGTAGGATTATAGAAACATTTTCAATCACAAATCTGGATTAGGAACCAACCAAAATTTAGTAAGAAATAACATATTACAATTTGTGTAACATTTTATCTTAAACGGGGAATGAAAGAAATCACCTCAATGCTATCTTTACCAAACCAACAACACAAGAAGTAGTCTTCCTTCCTCTCACCAGAGTGGTAAGTATACAATACTATGTAACAATCTCCACTGTAAAACTTCCCAATATCCTCCTTAGGCAATGGATTCTTGGCACTTCCATTGATTAGCCATACCTGGAAAATCAAAGGAATATCACGTTTAAAGGTATCAATTCAGTTAAGCTAGAGAAACTATGCAAAATATATATATATATATATATATATATATTTATATAAGCTCACCTCCATCTTTCCACCTCCTTCAAGCAGAGGTGGAATTTCCTCATTGACTGGTGTACTTTTCGTCATCCCCTTGACACCCATACCTTGTTGCTTCAGCAAAGCTAGCAACACATGAAATCCCTACTTAGTATGGCAAGTTATACACAATTGCTTGTACAAATTACAAGTTAAATGACGGGGCAGTCTACCTGCAACTTTTCCTCTCCCTTCCTCAGCGCCAGGAGCAGCAGATCCTGATGGCCAAGTATCAAAGTTGGACTTGAACGCATGTGTCTCATAACCTTGAATAATTCTGGTTATCCGGGTTGACTTTGGCCTACTTTGACTTGCAACAAACTCCTGGAGATATTCCCACAGTTAACAGAATTCACTTTTAACTAACAGGTGAAGCTTTGGATGTTACTGTGTCACTACCTCAGCAGCTTGGCATGCCGCTTTTCGTTCTTCGACTTGTGTTACTCGGCCAACCCAGACAAACACCTCCGCACCACAGTCCAGCAAATAGCATTTGTTATTCTCCAACAGTGATTTAGATAGTTCACCTTCAACAGGTTTGATCTCGCCATCAGCAATACTGCAAGGACAAGTCGAACAACGTTAATCATCAGCATGCAACATTGTCATTAGCCAGCTAACACCTGCTCATATATTCACCAGAGGGCATACAGAGCATACACTTTAAACGACTCTATACAAGCACAAGTATTCAGGTAAAAAGACAGAGAAACGAAAGCCTTAGATTTGGAAGGTAATATGTTTAATAGATGACACAAATTGTATCGTAAGACATAAAGTAAGAAAAGAAAAGAAATAAAAATGTGTTCCATCTGAACTAATTCCCCAGAAAGAAAGAAACCTATCAGTCATGCAAGAACCACATGATTTCTTTACATGACTTTAACTAACCGCAAGCATTGATTAGGAGTTAATTGCAGGATTAAGACTGAAGTGGAAGAAGGAGAATAAAAAAGAGTTCACAAAGTTTTATACCCTCACACAATACACACCACCATCTGGACATCCCTGGAGCAGGCAGTGCTGCCCCAGAGAGTTAACTGTATATCTTTCTATATGATCAAGTAATTTATAATATTTTATTTCCTTTCATCTTTGATCTGATTTGAAATACCAAATCATTGGGGCCTTGCAGAAATAATAAGCTTTATATGGTAGTCCAGAATACATTCCTTGACTTTGATTAATGACATGAATTGATCTAGGTTAAAATAGCTGCCATGGGGTTTGATCCCTGGCCATGTGTATGGGAAAAAAATCTTGCTGGGCCTGGGAAAGGCAAGATCCACTTCTGTTATCTTTACATCTCAAAAGGCATTAGCCCTAGGCTGTCAGTTGGGGACACCCTTGGTACCCACAAAAACGAAGAAGATGAAGAAGCTGCTAGCATCCATTATCTACTATATGATCCCTTTCAAACAGGAGTCAGGTAGATGGAGAACAAGAGGATGAGGAAAACATCGCACCAATAAAGTTGAGCAGGAGTAGTCTCTGGAATAATATCATCCTCGCCAATGACCTTCTTCCCAATGGGAGCAAATCCACCGAAGAGAACCCAAAATTCACCTGAATCTGACTCAGTATCCAACTTTCCATCATCTGCAAGGCAGTTAAAAACGCACAAAGAATCAGAAGACGTAAAGACTAAGCTTCCAAAGAACAGGAATGCAGAATTATACAATTACTTAGTCAACAAGTATCAGGGAAAACAGATGTCCTTACCAACAATTGCAACATCACATTTCCCCTCATGATATTTTTCCTTTAAATACTGGGTTACTTCCAAAGCTTTGGCTCTTTCCTGAATATTTGAATTTGCCCCATTGAATTGATAAATCTTATTCTGAGTGTCAAGGATAAATACATCATCATGGTTCAGGGAAGACCGGGCAAAAGGGACCTGCACAATAAAATTGCTAATTACACACACAGTCAGATGAATGTTAACCAAATCTATGAAGTTCATGTCAAAAGAATTCTCTGCCTGTTTCATCCTGACAACTCGTTTTCCTTTGCATATGTACAAGCGTGTTTCAAACACTTCTTCTTCAGGTTTTTTAAACCCAGATGCAACACCTCCCTCTAGTGGTATTATACATGGTTTAAAGTACGACAAAAATTTGTCAGATTCATGGCCTTGGACTTCCCTATGCTGCACCGCACGTCCTCCAAGAGCTGCATCAAGTTCAACAGCTTTGATGGCAGCTGCCCCTGCCTCATCCTACAAGAATGGTCACAAATTAATGTCAAGAAAAAATTATTCTCCCCCCCCCCCAAAAAAAAAATATAGTGGTCCCAAAATTTCCAAACAGGAATGTGAACCATTTAAGCCTAGACCCTCCCAAGATAAAAGCTTAGTATTCAGATCATCTGAATTCTTCTTTGAAAGAATTAGAACAAAATGAAACTTGATAGAAAACAAGAGTACATCATAAAAGTAATCACCTTTGTGTTAAATGCAACTTTCCAAGGATCAAACTGTTTTAGAAACCTCTCGCTAAAATTTTCTATTCAACTCTCCATGAAAGAAAGGTCTGATGGAAATTGAAGAAAGAAAGAGCATGAGGAAAGGCAAGGTCAAAGCTTACCTGACTTGTATCCTTTCCAAGCCAGAAGTGTATATCATATAAATAAGTGCCTCCTTTGCCTTGTGTTGTCTGTAAATATACTGAAAATGAGCATCCCAAAATAGAGATCTATGGCCCATCTTCCCATAGTAGGAATTAAGCCATAGGCTTCAATCTATCTCGTCATCGGAGTACGAACTGTGTTATACTTATATATCATGCCACATGTTCTCTTCTCTTGGAATAGAAGTTAAAATTTGTATTATTTTAGAAGCCATTAGAAATTTTCCTTATCTATTTTACTGTGAGCATGCTTACATAAAGAACAGTAATATGATTATTGTCTCTACGTTGTATCAGGAGATATAAAGAAAATTATGGACATTATGATAGCATATATAGAATAACTGTTTTCAGAACATTCAGTCTCCAATTTCACAAAAATGAATGATAAGGGAAAATTGCCATAGCCCACACCTGCAAAATGATGTATGAATCTCCCGTGTAGAACTTTCCATGCTCAGATTTAATCAACGGAACTGGCTGGAAATTCTCAATCCTCCATATTTCAGTCCCTCTATAACAAGTCAAGTATAAAACCTCTCAAAGAATAGGGTAATTCAACAATATAACTTCCATTTTTATAGCAAAAGATTACTTTCATATTGTTTAGCATTCTATGGGCAGTAAATTTTTGCATCAACAACTGAAAAATATTCCCGTGGAGAAGTTTTTAAAAAGAAGAAAAATACAAAACATTCATTTATTATTATCCAGTCAACCCATATATTAAGGATACACTTTCTGACCCACTGCCTGGAATGCAGGATCCAAAACTTTCGTAGAGCTAGACATGGCTGATAATTCCTTCTAATATGATATCTTTCCAGGAAGAACGCCACGTGAATTCCCAAAATTCACCGTACAAGAAAAACATAATTAAGAAAAATAATAAAGAATATACGAGCATGAGAAAAACATATATAACTTGGCAGTTAGAGCAATTGTGTATGCTCTGTAAGGCCATACCAAGCAAACAACTGTCATAATTAAGTTCACAAGTGCGACAAATAACAGAAACAATAAAATTTCACAAGATATGTCACGATGGATGTAATGTCTGTGTCTTTGTTATCATCATTAAGGTGGTGATGCAGGACACATGCGCAGATGAGCACGCACTAGGACCAAGAATGGGTAATGCTTGCAGATTAGATCATCCCATTATTTGTCTTGTTTTAATGTCCAAGTTTCCCTGTGATTTACCAATGGTAAAGGCTTAAACATACGGAATCAGGTTTTATTCCTAGTCTTTGCAGTAAAAGTTATAGGAAGAGCCATGCAAACGTTTGTACTGCTTTCGTTAAGCAGATAATCATATTTATTACCTATAGCAGCAAATTGCTCTCTTCTAAGTTGAGCAATGCAATCAGACCATAGGTGTAATGTCTGGGGTTCTTTTCTAAATTTCTCTAATTTTATCAAATGTCCAGAGTGGATTTCTTTGGCATGCATCTAGAAAATTCGCCCCACCAAACCCAAGTTGACTCTTCCTTCAATTACCCGAAAATCAATAAAACTCAGTAATCTAATTTCACATGTGCCATTGAAATCACCAAAAAGCTGCCATTTGGCCCTTTAAACACCCCTCCTATTGACAGGAAATCACCAGTACTACCACAGGCACCGATTGTATACCCATGATCCACCCTAGACCCAATTAAGTTTGACAAACTTAACATGAGTCAAGCCTTGACATTATCATCTCAGACCTGAACTTATACGGACTTCAGTTCATTAACTGGTCTCGTATGTGTGTCTTCCAGCTCCTACAAGCAAAAAGATATTTGACTTAGACACTGGTCACTAACAAATCACATCATACTTATGGCCATGTTCACCCCTTAGGGACCAATTACTTATTTTCTTTTTTCCCTGCCATTTATTACATTTTTTTTTTCAACCATTGATCATTAATGAGAAATAATTACAAGAATATTCACAGTTAAAATAATTTTGCTTAACATGCTGGATAAAATTGTTTGGATGTTTTTCCCAGGCTGATACGTATCAACACTAAGCTGAACCTGGCTAATTAAGATGGAAAGCAAAGAGCATGTAAATCTCCACCACTTAGGCAGCCAATTCCTGAATTCCAGCAGAACACAATGTGTTGTCAAAGCTGCTTATATGGTCAAACCAACTTGTCAACTTGCATAGAACTAGATTGTACACTTCTTTACTGCTCAATAACGTTGCAAGCTTAGAATGAATGACTTTTAAATGTTTAACGGCAGAAGAGGACGTCTTGAAGGGCTGTCAAACCAATGGCCCTTTAACATCAGGATGATGGTCTCTACAGTAGTTTACCTCGATGAAGAAGTCTATGCCAACAAGTTCCATATCACCAAACAGAACCCATCTATGTCACATTTCAAGGTATTGAACTCTCTAGGCAGCTGTTAAATTTTTGAAGTAACAATACTGGGTAAAAATCACAGCTTGAAAATAACTGACATTCCCTGGTTGCTATGGCGTATAACATCTCCCAAATCCAAGTCATCATATAGCCATATGGATAAAAGGTTTCAGAGTTTCAAATTATTTCAGTATTCTGACATTTGATAAAATATATACAGTACTCTAATGTCTAAGAAGCTCTCTAAGACGCAACAGCTTATGGCAATGCACTGAACGATAACTCGGAATTAACAGACAAGACCTATGGAATTTTGAGCAGTAATATGATCTGAGATAAAAATTTACATAATATGCAGAAATAAATGCAACATTTTAGTTTAATACTAGGAGATCTACTTGATATGTTGCCACAGACGTGAATGGCAAGATCAGCGAGCCCTTTTGCATATTGTTCGTTTAGTCACCTCTGTGTCATTTAAAAGCCAATAGAAAATATGCCAAATAATCGAAGCTTATAATAATATTCAAATCAGGACAAGTGAATACAGGCGAGAGATCTCGCGACAAATAAGCAAACGATAGGAAGAATAATAGATTATCAGAGAGCTGATTACTGAATTAAATCCGAATAAGCGGCACACAATAATAAAAATGCACACCAAGTGATCAAAGAAAATTAAAAGACACACAAGCTCGTTAACGTTACCACAATATCATCTAGCACCGGATCAAACGTATGGTAATGAATAAGAAAAATGATCGGGATAGAATCAGATAACGATTACGGGCAGCAGGAGATCGCCGATCGCAATAGTATTGAGAATTGACCAAAGTAACGGGACACAGGGAACAGTTGTAAGAGGGAATTGACATACCTGAGATCTATCGCTGTGATGATGGGGGATAGGATTGAAGGGGCACAACAGAGATGGGGAGAAAATGGGTAAGGCGAAGGACAAGCTTGTAGAGCTGGCAAAAAAGAGAGAGAAGAAAATACTTGGAAAGAAAAGTGAATTATTGCTCTGCCTGTGCTGTGCGAGTCTTCTCTCTCCAACTTTTTAGCCTTTTAAGATTTGTAATTCAGATAGTTGGGAGAGAGAGGGAGGGAGGGAGGAGGGAGAGTTGCAGGGAAGAAAAAGAGAAGCGGTATGAATGAATTATGACGAAGAAGAAAGAGTGATGAAGAGAAAAGGAAGTTATGAAGGTATAGCTATCCTCAAGCCACGAGATTGAAGCTTGTTTGGCGAAAGGAAATCGTTATTTAAGGCAACACATCTGTGGCATTGGCATCAGCAATATCAGTGCTTGGATCAACAACATTGGAACATTTCCCCCCCTTGCTTCCATCTTTCTTACAAATTAGTATAAATTTAAATGAAAAAAAACTGGAAAATCATTTGCTGAAATTTGAATTAAGAAGAAATTAAGTGGATAAGAATGCCTTTAGCTTATTGGTTTTGCAATTAAAAGTTTAAATTTTTATACTCACAAAAAAATTTATCTATTTTTTCGGACTTTACAGAACAATTTTTTAAAACTTGTGCTTCTGAATTATATGTTTAAATCCAGGTAAATATTGTTTACAAAATAAAAAAGAAGGACGTCCTCATCCACAATTCCACACGTACTATATAATAAAACCAATTACTTAAAGTCTTGCGAAAGCTATTATTTTATTCCTCCAAACAGAATGTATGGTTAACGTGTTAAGGGAAAAAAAAGGACTGGGCGTAAATTTAATCAAAACCGAAGTAAAATTTACTGAGGGAAATTCGCTAGTTCATTGGCCAAGAAAGCGAGTCAGAGAGTGTTTGGAATGAGTAAACTGTAAAGTGGCAAGGGAAGGCAACTTGAAATTAGGCCGTCTTATTTACAGATTAAGACATCTCAGTGCCGAAAACACACAAGGTGGTCCAATCCACAACCAACGTAACTCCCACCGCCTTAATTTGCCCATCCTCTTTCTTCCTCTGTTTCATTCCTTTTTTTCACATTTTGATGACTTTACACCAATTTGGGAATTGAAAATCGAGTCCTTCACAATCAAAACACCAACAAAAAGGATACAACCCTCTTGGATTCGTCCTCTGCTGTGTTTAATTTTGCACAGAACGAGTAAGTGGGGTTATCAACCAAAGCAGGTGAAGTAGAACGCATCAGTAATGTTTCATAATTGCAGGGAACAAAGCCACCACCCCAGAAGGGATAGTAAATCTTATATGCCTCAATATAATACCAACTGCAAATTTTAAAGCTTAGGTGCCCGGAGTGCTTGGATCCAACACCTGCAATTTCAACGAACATTTTGACTGTCTCCAATTGCGGAATTTAATTCTGTTGGTGAATGGATTTAAGGCAGACTTCCGACAAAGAACAGTGCAATTAAGAGGGAGATAAAACTATAAAAGGGAAGGTGGGGGTCTACCATGAAGTTGGGAAAAGATATGTCCGCAGAAATGAAAAAGGAGTCAAGGATGCAAAGAACGTAGGAGCTCTTTTTGAGTTAAAAGGAGCACATCAAAAACTAAAGTTCATTATAAAAGTACTTCAATCCTTGTTTGACTCATTTTTCCTGAACTGCCTCGAATTCAAATCTTCCTCCTCAATACTCAACTAGCCATCCAAAACATGACATCTGCAACGATCCATTGGTTTGCAAAACTTAAACTGAGTTACTATAATCATCTAAAATGGAACAGATTTGTGAACAAATCTACATGCCATAATGGACCGGCCTGCCCAGAACAGAGAACCGGTGTTTCATAAACTCTCCTTTCTCACCTAAATCCCATCCAGGAATATTCCTAATGGCACATGAAAATAATATATAGAGTATTCATTTGCAGCAGAGAATCATTTTGGAGGGACTAAGAAACAATGAAAATAATTTTAAATTATAAACTTCAAAACAAAAATAATAATATGTACTCGCTGTTTAATTTCATCATGAAAAAAAAAAATTGTACCAGTGCATTGCTTTAAAAACATTTTGTATTATGACTGTAATTGTTAAGGTCAACACGACCACATCACACGACGAACTAATCTTACTAGAAAAATGCTAAATATGAGGAACTAAATGATCACATATAATCATGTGTCTGGAGGAATTGATACTTATACTGGCTAGCTTGCCAAATGCCTAGGTGAAGGAGATATCAACTTGTAAATGCTATATGTTCATTGAATTTGTTGGCAAATACTACATCTGGTTCTTAATATAAGAACTCATTTGACTTTTATTTTGGTCCTAAATATAAGAATTCAATTCACTTTGTCTCTCATATTTATCCATTTTTTTCAAATTAATTATGTAATAATAGTGGTTTGAACCAATACACTTGATTAGTAAAGATATTTAGAAGACAATACCTAATTATTATAAATAACTAATTTAATTAATTTCTTAATATGTTTAAATTAGTCAATTAATTTTTATTTTAAAAAACAGAGATAGTTTATATGTATTCCGTGAATTTGTTATTTCTGGGGTTTAATTTAACTATCCCCCTCCCTCCCAAAAGAAAAACATGGTCATGATTCCATAGCCGTTGTATTTAAAAACACACACATTTTACACTCTTTGGAGAAAAAGATGTGTCTCTTCTCTCAACAAAATTTTTCTTTCATATTATCCCATTAACACATATGATCAAATTAGTTCTTGTTCAGTGCTCTTTTAAAAATGTAAGCCAATGGAAATCACTGATTTTGGAGCGCATTAGAGGCACAGGGTACTTAAAGGAGACTTTATAAGAAGTCACTTGAGCTTAAAGAGAGAGAATTCCCTTTGCTTAGAGAGAGATTGCAGGTAAGAGGTTCCTTATTTCTCATGTTTTTTAATTTCCTTACTTGCACGCCAAAAATAGTACCACTAGTTTCATTAATCTGGATTATTATTTTACATTCCCAATGTCTAAAACTTTAAACACTACGAGCACCAGCACCATGTTTGCATAAATAATTAGCTAATTCAGAAATCAATGCGAGCAGGTTCTAAAAATAATAAAGGAGCCTGCACTTCACTTTTTAGTATATGAATCCGGCAGGCTCTGGTCTGCAATATCTCTTATATCGTGCCAAGATCAACATCATGAATGCCAACTCTAGTCTGTAAATTAATTATTAACATCTTTATTATTAAATCATATATATATATATTAGAAAAAACAGAGGTGGGGAAAGGGAGAGAGATTTTAAGCGGGTCCCTCATAAATACAAGGATGAGAGGCATCACGGTCATGGCGGGGGCCACCCTGCTGGGGACGAAAGGTAAATATGCGAAAATGGCTAAAAATAAAGAAACGAGGAAAGCTTTTAGGACATGTATTTATGGATTGGCATATAAAGGAATATTCACTGGGTGGACCAGATATCATGGCTATAATTAAGAATAAATATTTTGAAGTGATAAGAAGAGTATTAGCAAATTAAAGCCAGCTCATATGGCCATATCTACAATTGATAGAGTGACAAATTAAACCATAATAAAATGGATGAGTCGCTATCACCTTTGTTCAAACCTCAAATTATACAAAAATATCGTGTATTATTTATGTATCTGATTCAATATCAAAATGACCCACTTCAGACGTTAATGTATACGGGCAGGATCAACTAATTAATCCAAATATACTATTTGACCAAAACATAACAATTCAAGTATTGTTGGAGTATTTAATTTCTTTATTGTTTCTTCAAAGGCCTTATTTTCTCCGATTTTTGAGAGCTTTGAAGAGTTTCGCTCACTTCCCCTGTAGCTCTACATGGAACCGAGACATTTGGTGCTCCTTTCATTTGCTTTTAACTCGTCTCTTTTCATTATATTATAGTATCATCCATATAAAAAAAGGTAATTGTTTATTTTTATTTTTATTCTAAAACGTAAAGAAAAAATTGCCTAGTCATAAAATTTAGTTTTATCTGGTATCCCAAACGCAGTCCAAGTGGTGTCTGGGAGGGTGAAGCTTGTATTGGACGGCTAGGGCGGTGGCTTTTTGGTTGGGGAAATGGACAAGGGAGAGACCCAGGACTTTATAACGAACAACGATATATTTTTTTCCAGTTGGCGCGACCGCCACCACCGCCATTTCTAAAGATTCTTATTTTTCTTTTCATATTTTCTGTTTTCCGATTGGATCCATCAATTGTGTTTTATATTTAATAGTGTAAAATTCACATTAACCCCGTAGAGAAAATTTAAAGTTGCGTGGATTTTTCGTGACGTTGGCGTATTTTAATTTCTTTATTGTTTTTTAATCCTCTCCATTGGTATGATTTTTTTCCTCCGGCCAACTATCCGTTGATATGATTAAATCCATTTCAAGTACATGTATAATATAATTCTATACACAATTCCGTAAGCATTGTAGAGTATTATGCACGGATAAATCTTTTGATGTTAAAACTTCACAACGAACCTCTTCAAACTCTAAAATTAGGGGATGTTTCATCAGCAGATGACTAATTTAGAAAATTAGGCAACAAATTTGACTCAGTTGACTTATAAAATTGGTTTATCAACAAGCAGTGTGAAACTAATTATTTCCATATTATGGATATCCATTTTATATCATTATCTTGTAATGTCGCATTATATATATAAAAAAATTTCAAATAGACGAAACAAATCAACCCTGTACAAGTGATAGCAGGACACCATTTTTGTGTCATGACAACTAAGTTGGCGTGCTTTCCTGTCAAGATAACTTGCGAGGGTGTGATTGTTGCTGTTCGCTCAATAATTCCTCCTTTTTTTTAAAAATAGAAGAAGCTACGTACGTACTTTCTGTTTAAATTCTTGAAACTTAAACGTATTATTTAAGATAAGTG